GGGGCGCGAGTGCTGGTGCGGCGGAGCCTGGCGGGAGCCAGCGCCGTGCCGGGTCTCCCGCCCGGCGGCGGCCTGGCCCTCAGGTGAGCCCTGAGGGGGTGAGGCGGGCGGGAGAGGGCCGCCGAGGGAGGCTGGAGACGCAACCGACGCCGCTCGCGCCTCCCCTCGCCCCGCCGCGTAGACCTCCCCCCCCCCCCCTTCTTTTTTTTCCTGGAAATGGCGCCCCGCTCGCCCGGGTAGCTGACGGGACGGGCCCACGGCCCTCCCGTGGGGCGGGGAGTGCGACCCGCTCAGGGTGTCCTTCAAGGTCATGGGCCCCAAGGCCAGCCCCTTCCCCTCCCTCCCCCAAGTCCGCCCGTGGGTGGGGATGATGGCCGCGCCGCCCCCCTGCCCTGAGCCGCCGGGGACGGGGTGCCCGCCACCCCCTGCTGCCTGTCTCCCGGGGTCAGGCTGCAGGGACTCCCCGCCACTGCAGGCAACAGGGTGCACAGGCACCCCACGGCCACGTTTCGCGGGGTGTCGGGCTGCACTGTCACCCTGCACACGTGTATTTCTTGTTTTGGGGTATATGGATGCTCTGCACCCAGATATCCCTCCAGAATCAGGGTGTACAGCTACTCCGCATCCCAGCTCCGCCAGGCAACAGGGTGCACGGTCACCCTGCATCTCATGTCCTCTGGTGTTGGGGTGTGTGGCTGCACACGCAACACCAGCCCTTGGTGTCCAGGACACACAGCCACTCCACGGTCACGGTGCCAGGTTGCACCTCTACCCAACATCCATGTTTCCCCCGGTGCTAGGGTGCATGGCTGCGCACACCAGCGTCTTCGTGCCTTAGCAATGCACAGCTACACATGGACCCAGCATCGATGTGCACCCCTTGGGTCTCAGGACACATGGATTCATACTTCCCTTAGGAGCTGGGATGTGTGTGCACATGCAGACAGTGTTGGCACATGCACAGACACATCCATCAAGTTTTGGGGTGCAGACAGTTGCGTGCCTACATGTCTGATCTGTGAAAGGTCAGGCACATGCACGCACCTCCTGGGTGGGAAGGGTGCGCACACACGTACACAGCTCTCAGGGCACAGATGTGCACACGTGTCTTGAGTATAGGAAGCAGACACATGCTCCCTGGCTGTTGGAGACACAGAAGTGGTCAAGCTGGGATGGGTCTATGCACATTTTTCCTCCCTTTCTTTGAAACGGGGAAAGCTGCTGTCTTAAGCCTCAGAATGGGCGGCAGCCCCTGTGCAAGACTAGAGGCATCACTGCCAGCAGCTGTTTGAAACAGGAATGGGGGAAGTTTTGGAGAGTATACGTTGTGAGATTTTATGTGCATGTTTTGGGGTTTTTTCCTAGTTTCAAATAAACTTGTTTAGGCCACAGATCAAAAAGTGTCAATTATAGACAAGTTGTTTTTCTTTCTCTTCCAGGCAGACATGGGTTACTACAAAATCTAAATACTTGACCTGATATCTCCCACCCAGTTTATATTTTGTGCTAAAGCAGAAGCTAAGTGTGATAGAAGTGTTTTCACCATTGTTTTTAATCTAATATAAGCAAGCTCTTCAGTGTTACACTTTTGTGTTCATAGCCCAATCTTTGTAGCAAGAAAGCTAAGCCCATTGTTAACATTTGTAGGATAAGAACTTGCTAGCAAAGTAAAGCAGTGCCTTAAAAGATTGCATGAAAACTCTCTTTAATCAGTATTGTTCTCAGAAAATAAAAAATTGTGAAGTGTGGTGGTAATTCCATGTAGTGTGTCTACATTCATTCTATGTGTATATTCACATTTTCATTAGTGGTATTTGGGGTTTGGAACAATTTGGATCCAATATCTGTTTTACTTGAGACTTGTATTGTAATATTGTGGGGCATAATGCTAAGAAGTTAGTTAAAAGTAGATCTTTTGGATGATGGATTAGTTTTGAACTAATCTGTGGTTGATGCTCACAACTGGCAGTCCAAAGACATTAATTTAGTCCCTACTCGTCCAGAGTTAATTTTGGGTACATATTGCCCACACAAGTGAACCAGTAATCAGTTCAGGGCTTCTTGATTTATGGATGTCCAGAATGACACCAGTAGTGTAGGACTTCTCTAAGGATATGGATTAAAAATAAGACCCTAGCATCTCAGGTTGGGTGCACTGACTATCTGTTTTAATAAACTTCAGCTGTTACTGTTCTTTATTATAAGTGAAGTATATATTTAGATGGATAGTCATGATTTTTTAGTCATTGTTCATGAGGAACTTAAAATTGCTGGGTAAAAGATTGTACATAAATGTAAAGTATTACTCATTTCATTGTATTGAAAATTAAATATACCTCCAGGTGCAGTTTAACATTCAAGTCGTGAGACTCTCCTAATAGGAAAAGAATTTGCTTTTCAGTATAATCCCCGTAACTCCAGCTGCTGATAAAGCTAGTTCACAAAAAAAGCATCGTGATTATTTGTCTCTTTCATCTTCAAAGTTCACTGCAAACAATAATCCTCATGGGAGAATGTTCTAAATATTAGTTTTCTAACTCCATTTAATAAAGGGGAGGAAATGCAAATAGTTTATGGATCCAAGTTGAAAAAATGAGGACTGCAGGACTAGGATTGAGTTCTGTCACCTGGAGTCCTGTTGTCCACTGAATATTAGTGCTTACTTTAAGGGAGCTTTTTAAAACAACTTGGATTTATTAGGTGGGGTTTACCCCCTATAATCTGGGACAGCTTGTGTTCCTGTGGCACCTGATGTAGATGTGACGACACAACTGCAGTCACCTGTGCCTCGCCTCCTCCAGCTGAGATCAGAGATATGTCTACTCCAGGCAGCTGTGTACCCTCTATTCTAGCAACAGCCTTATCATGGAATGCCCTTTTAAATGCTTGTACTCAGGAATAGCTGCTTAGCTTTCAGCACAGTAACCTGTTTGTGTGTTTGCCTAGGGCCAAAGGCGGCACCATTTTCAATAAATACACCAATAAGATATTTACAAATTACTTCTTAACCTTGAAGGTCATCTCAGCTGCAGTTGTTCTTCTGGTTGTTATTGTTTCTCTGCTATGAAATACTTTTCCTTTCTTCCATCCTGCTTCTAGAGGGTGAACCAGTTCATTATGTTATTTTCAGACATTGGGACTAAAAGGTTGATTGTTGAAAAACACTGCTAGTGTGAACTACTTTTGTGTAATACAGACAGGCGTGTTCATGAAGGTATTTCTCCCAAAGGAAGTTGAGATTTTCTTTCCCTATTTTTTTTTCCTTGAATGATTGTCACAAACTTCTGGTATCTGGAAGACAGCTGTATAGCTGAAGATTGATAGCTATCTTCTGGATCTTCTAGTCAGTTATTAAGGGTGAAAAATTGAATTCTGAGGCAGGAAAAGGTTTAAATTTCCAGCTGCATTGCCACATTTTTTCTATGTCAGAGAAGTATTTTAGTATTTCAGCAGAAACCCTATATCATAAAGAGGCAAACTGAAGGAAGTGCTTCTTAGGAGAAAGAAGAAAAAACACTTGAGCTTGGGGTCCCCTGTCATACATTATAAAGAATCAGTGAATATATCAGCTCTCTTGTCCTTCTGCACAATTTTTGGTGAGTGAGGGGTCTTCCATCAGCTGGAAGAGAGAAGAATAATTCCTTTAACACATCATTTTAAAAAAGCATAGTTATCAATTGTAATGTTTTGTGTACTCTGTGGTGTAAAAGGAAGTGGCGTTATTTTGGAATTGTACTTGCAGAAACTGCATAAAGATTAGATAAAAAAAGACAGTGAAATTCTTCTGTTTCAAAGAAAGGAAAATTGTGAATGCTGTTCAAAGAATGTGGATGTGTACCCCTACATAGTACAGTTGCCAGAATTTGGAATTGAAGCATTTGCAGGCTGTTTGTTTCCCACCACTCGCAATTTTTCCCAAATTAGACTTTCATTATATTTCTTCTCTTGAAAGATGCACTATTTAACTTTTCCTTTTTTAGAGCTATATTTAAGCAACATAGGAACATATGGCAGTTACTTTCCTGTTTACACTGTACAAGTTTTTCCTTATTCACACTTTTTTTGCTCTTTTTCACTCTTGTCTGTGTACATCAGGACAGACCCAGCCTTTTTGAGCAAAGACACTTGATTAAAAAGAGGATAAATAGGCAGCAAAAGCAGCCATCCACCTGTTCGCTGCCATGTGCACAAAGAATAAAAGTGGATAGTGTATGGTTAACTGCTCAGCTCTGTATCTAGTAAAATGGTTTGTGAGAGGGTTAATCTCAGCAGGGAAAGAACTGCCTTTACCTTGCTAGGAAGTGGCTCAGTGGAAAGTTTTAGTAACAGATGTATATGTAACTGTGTGTTATGATACTGTTTGCATTGAACTTGGTTGTACCTATCTTCCCTGCGTTGTGGGCATTTTCAAGACACACTCAGTGACAGTATAATGTACTTGTTAATATGTAGGGGGCTGGTATCTTCAGCTAGCAGACCTCGTGAAGACAGTTGGTTAAAATCGCTATTTGTTCGCAAAGTCGATCCAAGGAAAGATGCTCACTCCAACCTTCTAGCCAAAAGAGAGACCAGCAGTCTGTATAAACTACAGAGTGAGTGATATTTTTATATTTAACATTACCATTTCTTTATTCTGTTCCTGCATTTCTCACGTAATGTTGTTGTTTCAGTTCACAATGTAAAACCAGAATGTCTAGAGGCCTACAACAAGCTTTGGTAAGTGTGCGTATTATGTTTTCACATTTTAGACATGTTGATTTGATCACAAGCTGTTCTGAAAATTGGCAAATATCATAATTATTTAGAGGGGAGGTGGAAAAAATCTGGTTTTACTTTCAGGGTATGGTGTTAAATAGATCATGTTATTCTTGGAGAGAGATGGCAAAAGATACTTTACTCAGTTCACCCCCTGCCTTCCCTCTTGGAAGTACCATTTTCCTAAGCTGAAATGTAGGATGATACCTTTTATGAAAACATTGGTGACATTTGTTGGAACAGCTCTCCCCCCTCCCTTAGTTGTCTTACAATTGCTGGTCCATGCAGGTAGATTCTGGTATGCTACCGTGTCCCACTCCAGTTGCCATGTAGGTATGTGTTGGGGGTGGTTATTGTGTGCATACAAGAAGGAAAGGGAGGGATCACCGGTAAGTAAAACTCCATGCCAGTATTAAATTGAAGTATAACTTTGAGGAGATTTTAAAAACCCAGGGGCTGACTTTCTCTCAGCTCATCTATATCCTTCTACAAAAGTATTGTTACTGAGATTTACTCCTAAAGAGCTATGCAAATCCTTGGATAGGATCTTTACGTTGGGGTGATATCCTTCAAAGGCAGCAGTACTGTTAGGGGTTTTCCAAAAAGTTACAGCTTTATAAAATGTATGAATTAGTAACATTTTAAATTTACTACTTCAAGGATGAAATTGCAGAAATACTAGTCCTGTTCTGCCTACATAATCACTGTTCTGGAGCCAGAACAACTGCCTTTTCAAGAACTGTATGTTTAAATTTGGAAATGTAGTGAGCCTCACACGTTTCGAAACAGCAGTGCTTTCTCACTGACAATGATCATCTTGTCAGTTAAATAGAACATTCTTAGCATAATGATACTCTACTACAACAATTTTTTAAGTGTGGTGTATTGGTGAAAACACCAGCTGGGCAGGAGGGTGGGGAAGAAGTTCACAACTCCCAGTTTATTTCCTCGACTATTGGTTACCTGCACAACCATGAGTAGGTTGTCTAACATCTCTGTGCCTTCATGTATTTAGCTTTGAAATGGGTCTAGATAACCCAAAACTGTTTTCCTTGCTATACAAACATAGAAATCCACTAGAATAACATTCACTCATAAGGTATTTTTAGCTTTTTTGTTTAAAAAAATAAATACACAGAGAAGCACAATTAGCATTTAGCCAACTTTCTGTTTAAAAGCTTAATATAAACATGCCCAATTATACAAGACAGGATACCACTTCTCTGCCTTATCTCATGAGCTGCCTAAATGTTGAGTGAAAGCAGAAGCTTTTCTTTTCAAGGAAAGAGACAATAGCAAAGAAAGAAACTGCTGACAGCAATCAGCTGAATTATGTGTGGTTAGATTTATTCTTTCCAAACCAAAGCAAATTTAAGTATTCCAGGGAAGGAGAAAACTTAGGAATGGAGTAATAAAAAAAACTAAGCCTCTCTGAACTTCCCTCCTTCTTCTCCCTAAAATAAAGATGAACAGGTTAATTCCTTATTCTGTATCAAATCAGCATAAGGATTAGTCATCATGTATTAATAAAGAAATAATATCATGAAGAAAATTATGAGAGTACTTCATGAAACACTGTGGTTAAGGACCCCTTCTGAAGAATTAGGAACAGTTATTTTAAAAAAGGAAAAAGATGGTGTTCATAAGGTATTCTGTGGGTGTTTTTTTTCTATAATTTGCAACAAAATATATTTTAGGGTTATTGTAATAATGTAACATTCCTGTTTAAAGCTGTCTTTCTAGGATCTCATTATGCTTTGTAAAAACGAACTGATGGTGAAACATCCTTGAAAACATCCTTGGAGAGTCATTCTATCATATTACTTACACTATGTAGTGAGAAATCTTTAGGTACAAATTGGTAATGAGATTTGCTCAAGGTTGTCTAGAAAGTCAGTGGCAGAATCAAGAGAAAAACTCGTATCTAATGACTCTCAGCCCCAGACCAGCCTACTTCCTATTACTTGATATTGTGCAAAGACTCATTGCCTATGAGCCAAACTGAGTAAGAGGGGTAATTATTCAGGGAAAAATATTAAAAGGCAAAGTTCAACTGGAGTAATTGACTTATTCATCAAAATACAGTGCAATGAAAGCTGTGGTAACTGAGTCAGCAATCAGTAAAACTTAATTTCTTAATGCTAATGTAGGCCACAAAGTTTGAAAAAATGTTAGAAATACTGGAAATACTCAAACAGAAATTGGAGGTATTTTTAAGGCAGTTTCACTGTATGCTTTAATGGGTAAGTTGCCTCAAACTAAGACCACTTTCTGAAATGGTAGAAAGCAGTAAGGCTGCATACTATGAAGTACAGTCGTCATTTGATCTACCAAAATACATGTTTTTATTCATTCAGCTCAACAGAATTAATAGCATTGTAACTGGTACAGAAGACTGTCCTTTCCTATTATTGTGTATTCTACCTCCCTTGATAAGGAAAAGCTTTTCCTAAAGCAAATCACCCATGTAGTTAAGCTGCATTTTCTGTGAGACATCCTGATACTTACTTTCCTAATGTGTTGGATAACCCTTTAGGGTGATAGACATAATTTATTGCATCGAAAGAATTCTACCATGCTGTGTATTTGTCATACAGTCTAAGAAATGGTAACACTTACCTTAATTTTTCATAGTCTTGTAGCTATCTTCCCCCTGTATAGCAGATTTTTGTATTTCAGCTTTCTCTTCTGAAAAGTACAGCTTGTGAATTTTCATACCATAATGATAAACGTGTGGTAATGTATTATACATATCAACTGTAGCCTCCCTGAAGGAAATGCAACATAGTGTCTGTATTCCTTGTTTTCAAGTCAAGAGGTGCTGCCAAAGATTCATGAAGAAAAACACTACCCATGTGCACTGGTGGGGACTTGGAACACGTGGTACGGAGAGCAAGATCAGGCTGGTAGGAGATAGAAGTACAACAGAATGTAAAACCATACAAGTGAAACGTGTGCTTGGCAGGTTTCTTCTCTTTAAATCATCTCTGTTGACAGTAAACCTTTAGCAATGTATATAGTGAGGGTGTGTGTGCATCAATTATCAGTAGTCATTAACATTTACAGTGCTTGCTTTTTGTCTTGTTGAGTTTGACGGTAAAGCATTAATTCCTAAAATTTGTCCTATTGTTAATACACTTTCATGTTTTCCAGGTGGTAGATTAACAGTTTTGGGAAATGCTTGCAAAATGTGGTCCTGTAATATTTTGCGGGCACAGATTACATTCCTGAATATTTAGGATAAAGGCAAAGGCTTACAAAGACAGAGTTTATCTTGCATTGGCCAGTATAAAAGCTTTACTCAGACTTTCATACTGTAATTGCTGTATGATAATGAAATGCAAATCATTCACACCATCTGAAAAAATGATTGCATTGTAAACTCAACAATAAGCTAGGCCTTTATGGGAGAAAAATAAAAATATTTCTGTTCATGTTCATATAAGGATGCTGCCTAACTATGCAGATTGAAAATATATTGGAACTAGAAATTACTGAAGAGCTGCTGCAGAGGTAACTACAAAGAGTCTAATGTAGAGAGAAAACCTGAAAAATTTCCTAGACTCTGGGAAATTGAAGGAATGGGAAGCCACGAATACAGAGTGATGTACTGATATTTGTTATGTAGTTTGTTATGTAGCTCCATTGTTAGAGCTATGCCAGTATCAATGTCATTGCTTTGTTATTGAAAAATAGGTACACATTAATTTTTCCTGCATTCACAACATATTGCAATATTGGCACTAAACAATTGTGAAGAAATAACAGTAGAGAAAACAAACAATGTCTGAGAAACAATTCTGAAAGTTGAAGGGAAATTGGGGAATGAAGACAATTGAAGTGAGAGTATCTTAGCCAAGTCTCATTCGTTGCTTCTGTAACATATTAACAAAGACTGTATCTGTAATTGCATCCATAGCCTGCCTTGAAAATGTTACTGCAACAGTTCTAGCAGTGTAATAAAGCAGATTATGGGGTTTTGACTTTTTTAGTACATGTGCCCAGACTGTGTTAATATTAGGTGGATATATCAAAATTGCCCTGGGGATAAGACAGCAGAAGCAGGCGCACTGGATGAATCTGCTATCATGAAGTGCCTTATGTTAGTCTCCAGTTTGCTCTCCTGGAAAAGGCACAGGACTGCTTTAGAGGAGAGAAAATAGCTTTTGTGACTCTTTGAGGTGAAATATTGTTGCCTTGCTATATTAAGTGCTTGTAAATAAATCTTGTTATGATTTATTAAAGGGGTTTATTATGATTTATTAAAGAGAGAATGCTTTGAAATAACTCAGATATAGATACCTGTTCTGAAATCGTTTTTATGGGGAAGATCCTAGCAAATGTAACATTTCTAGCATGTTCAGATATCTTCTGCTTTTTTTAATGTAATGTTTACCTCAAAAATAATATTTGCGTCATTTTTCATGTCCTACAGAATGTGTGTTGCTCTCTGTGCTTGAGTAATTTACTGAACTAAAAAGTCTACCCCTCTACTGCTCTTAAAAGAAATTGGTATAAAACACATTTTTGGAATTAAGTCATCCTCTTAAATTGAATCTCAGTTTCAACTACAGTCATGTAAAGTCATCACATCTTACTAGCATGGCAACAAAAAGTCCTTTCAGAAATTTCCCTGTTATCTTCAGAGTAGATTGCAAAGTTCTCCAAGAGAACCCTTTTCAAAAAGCAGATGATTCCATCCATTACTTTTAAAATGTTCAAATGTGTAGTGCTTTCTTTAGTGAAAATCTATTTTTAAACCTGTTACCTGATTTCTATTTTTGTATAATTCTGTAGTATGAAGAGCGTTTTATACTGTGATATTCCATAAGATTTAGCACTGGTCTGTGACATCCCTGAAAAAGCTTCCTTTTTTCTGTTTCAGTTCATCTGTGGAGATATGAGGGAGGCTATCCAGCTCTCAATGAGGTCATGAGTAAACTCCGTCAAAATAAGGTAAAATGCTTTGATTTTGTTAGAATTGGTTATTTTACTCAGAAGAGAACAAAGAATAGAGCAAAGAGCTGCCCATTTGGATACCCACTTCAATATCTCATCACTTCCTATACAAACTTAGAAGCCTCTTTGGAAAAGGGTTTATTCTCATATTCAGAAATACTGAAGTTTAACATGTGAATACTTTATGAAACACACTTAGTGTTGTGTAAACATGCCACTTGAAATTTTCAAATATGCCAGGGGAATTTAGAAGCCTTTACAATTTAGAGGATTTCAATGTCCTAAACCCCCAAGATAGCATTAAAAAAAATAATAATCTAACCCACCGTATGGTATACTGCTTTTTGTTGTTGAAACATAATACATAGTTTGACAGCGGTCACATTGTTTTTTAGGAATTCACAGAGTTTCGCAAAGAAAGAGGTAACATGCTTCTCTCGCGCAAGAACCAATTATTGTTGGAGTTTAGTTTCTGGAATGAACCTGTTCCCAGAGAGGGGCCTAATATTTATGAGCTGAGATCCTATCAACTTAGAGTAAGTTTAAATTTTTCTTTTTATTTTTTAAACTCCATGCTGTTGTAAAATGTTCAAAGCATGTTTATACAATGTAGATGAAAAACAGATCTCATCTTAAAAATCTGGTTCTTATCAAAGCTGATGTCTGAGTCATTGTTGCTCTCAAAGTGTGGGGTCCAAAATGGAGGCAGGCTCCAACAAGGTACTAATATCTGCAGGGCTGAAACCCCTGTGTTTTCATTTGAAGGAAACTTCAGGCAAATGACTAATAAGTAATATAGTAAGTAAACAGAGTAATTACTGATTATTATAATATGCTTATCACTTGAAGGAAGTGATTTTGTTAATACATAGTGTTTTCCATATGCAAATGTTGTGAAAACTGTCCAAATATTCTAACTTTCTTTAAACTACAGTTTTAACAGTCTGTTTTGGTTTTGTAGCCCGGAACAATGATTGAGTGGGGAAATTACTGGTAAGTATTGCTTTAGCACTTGTGTTCTCCTGTTTGAGAGATGTATGTTTAAAAATCATGAAGTGGAGGTGGCAGAATGGTACCAAAGCGTTTCAGTCACCCAGTTAATGGCCTGCTTCTGTACTTTTGCAACTTGTAAGATAGATCTTTGACCCTTCATTTATCCTTTGCGGAAAGAAAGAAGAATTCTGTGTGCAAACAACATTGTGGGCTCTGTGGTTTGGCTTTCTTTCCCATAACCCTTTTAGTTTGCTGTAATGTAGCAGAAACCATTTATTTTCAGCAGAAAGCACTGCTTAGTGAAGGGTGGCGGTTAATTCCTTGAGACTTTGTTGATCTTTCACAAGACCACTAGAAGCTGACTTTTAGTTTAAATGGGCTAAATCTTGGCTCTTTTAATCTTTAAAGTCAAGTTGCTTCTTGAAAAGCTATTGAGCAGCACATTTGTATTTTAATACATAGGTTAAAAGCATTTGAGACAGTCTTCTGTTGAATATATGCTTCTGATTTTGTCTTATTTAAAACCAGTGTAAGTTTCTTTCCATTTACATTCACTATCCTTGCAATTCTAATGGTTGATAGTTAAACAGTTTGGAGTATTTTCAATTATTTTGACAAAGGTGAGGACTTGGATTTTTAGACGTGTCATTGTCATTGATGTAATTTACTTAATTACAGTAATTTGAATAAAGTACATTGAATTTAGAATTTTTATAAACTAGGCATATCCATAGTGGTAGCCAATCTGTTTTGGAAGTTACAGTAGATTTATAGTTAAGAGAAATATTGATCTTATTTACACAACAAATCATGGAGTATTGCATAGGCAGCTGCATAGCAAAGGTCTATGTGAATAAAAAAGTTGTATTCCATTACCACAAAATCTGTGGTGAATGAGTGTGGCAAAGACGACATGACTGAAAGTCAAGGATTTAGTTTTAGAAGAACCTGCTGTAAAAATGGCTCGCCACTTGACACTGTTCCAGCAGTTTTCTTTATACTGAATCTAACATTAAAGAATGATTAATGCACAGTCTAGTGAAACTCTTGGCATCCCAATTTTAACTCATTCTAACAAGATATATGGGTACGTTTTAATTACTTAGAGCTGAAAATCAGTGTATTGCAGATTTTTTTCTTATTTTTAATTGCTGAAGTGTACTGCAAGTGCTGTTTAACATTTCGGCTTCCTTTCAACTCTGTTTTCCTTTCATTTATCACTTATTTCCTATCCAGATCTGCTGTTTTTAATGGCTGCTTTGCTCTTCTGTAGGGCTCGTGCAATTCGTTTCCGACAGGATAACAATGAAGCAGTTGGAGGATTTTTCTCGCAAATTGGACAGCTATATATGGTTCATCACCTTTGGGGTAAATTTGTGTTCTCTCCTTTTTTCTCACTGGATCAGCCCCTAACAGACGTTGACTTTGCCCAGGAGAAAAGGTTTTTACAAAAGGCAAAGGAATGTCTTAAAATGGTTTTTTTGTTTTACATCAAGTGTTGATTTTCTTAATTTTTGTGTAGGTAACTTTATTCTTCAAACAAGCAAGCAGAAGTGAACATTTCATGTTTTGTTCTGTTTCCATCAACAGTTTCTCATGGCCCTTTCTTATTAGGGACTACTTGTTTGCTTTCAGTAACATAAACATGACAAGCCATGTCCTACCATCTCTTTTCTCCATCCCCATTCATCCTAAAGTCAGGTTTTTACAGTTTAGCTTCAAGTATCACATATACCACACCTACAAAAAGGAAAGTCAAGCATTTATTTACATTACTACATCATGGTGTTTTGGTTTTCTCTGTGTGTTAGTCTCCACAAATGCTTAGCTGCTTTTCACGTGTCAGGATTGTTTCAACTTGAAGAAACTCATTGTCTAATACTTATTTTAGAAAATATGTAGTATTATCTTCATATCTCGACAATTCAGAATATTATATTCCAGCATTAGAAATCTGACACCACTCATGTAGAACTGTACTCTGTTGCATTATCTGTCTTACCTGTGTCTAAGACATTCTCTCTCTTCCCCAGTTCCTCCTGTTTGCGTTGGTTTGGGAGCTTTTCCTTTTTGTGGAGAACTTCTGACTTTTTTCCTTCCCAGTGTTTGCAGCCTCCTAATTACACACTAGAATACTTATAAGGGAGCTATTCATGTGTAGAAGGAAAAGGAGTTACTTCTAAGCTTTGTGCTTGTTGTTTTCCCTCACCAGCTTACAAAGATCTCCAAACCAGAGAAGATATAAGGAATGCTGCGTGGCATAAACCTGGATGGGATGAACTAGTCTATTACACAGGTAACCTATTAACTTCATTGGAATGCTGGAGGTAGACTTTTGTACATGCCATCATTTTTGTTCTTCAGTACATTGCACAATGATAAAAAGCTTTGCATCTCGGGGCGGGGGGGCAGTCTGTGTCAGTTTTTCTGCTGTAGGGGAAAGGAGGGACATTTCACTAAGCTGCAAAGTGAATTTTGCAGTTGATCATGCAAACTCAAAAAAGTTGCCTAATTGCTAAGAAATTGCTACAGTAGTAGTAAATTTTTATACAAACATCTCTGCTGTAGAAGAACAGATTTGTGTAAATGCTTAAGTTTGTGTCCAAAATTTAGGGAGCCAATAGTGGAATTTACCTTAAGTTATTACCTCTAATATTTCATGAAATACGGGAGCCTTGTTAAATGTGTTCCTTTGAAAAGGGAATTTAGACTTTGGAACTAGAGGCCAGGAGATCTTTGAGATCAAAGATAGCTTTCATAACAAAACTCACAAAAGTATGCTAAGCATGTCAGATTTTGGTTCCATAGGGTACATTTCAAAGGAAGTATACCAGAAAAATGTAAGGTAACTTTCATTATGGTGAAAAGGAATAGAAATATTTGTCTTCAAAGGAGCAGACAGATTATATTAAAAAAAATCACTTGTTCTCAAAACTACTATGCTTCAGTTACAGGAATGTTTGTGGTTACTGATGACTTGGCATGCTCTAGCTACGAGAGTCATTTGAAGACAATGGTATCTGTTCAAACCAAGTGTGCAGAACTGCTAATGATGTCTGTTAGTAAAATTGAACCCTGTCTCAATTTTTTTCAGTGCCCCTTATTCAGGAAATGGAGTCCAGAATCATGATACCGTTGAAGATTTCTCCGCTTCAGTAAAGTCACTGATTTACTTGTGCCTACATAGATAAAGTGACAAGTATTTGTCTTAAATTAATTTATGGTATACATTGTATATCATAGTCTGAAATATAAAAGTACTGTATTGAGCTTATAAAAGAGACCTCTTTTCTTCAGAATCTAATGACCTTTTGCTCTTAGGATTGTACCAGGAAAAAAAGAAATATAGGACTGTAATTAAAAGGTTGGTTAATTGAAAACAAGTACAAAGACATATATGAGTTCATCCATGAGACAGCTCCTCAGGTTAAGTATGGCATACAGTATTTAATATCTTTTGCTACATAGACAATGCCCAGTGTTCAGTAACAGCAACAGAATGGAGCGTTACAGGCGCTGTGGCCTTTGTGTAGTGTTATAATGACTGCAGATTTTAAGAACAAATGGGGGAGTTCTGAAATTAGAAGCTCTGAAGCCCTCAGACAGCTCTGAAATACACCTAGCTGTTCTAGCAGGCCTCAAATCAGTAAGTGGCTCTTAATTTACAAATAGGCAGTCATTAATTGAGAATAATACTGTTTGTCAGGTGATAGCTTATGGACAGAGAACAGGGCATTCTGTTTTGCAAAGACTCTGAAGCCTGTGGAAACTAATCGCACATTTGTGTAGATATCTACACCTGAAATTAACTTTGTGATGTATGACCTTCGGTTTTCAAAGAGATGCTGACAAGACATGGTTGTCTGAACATTCTGCAGGGAATCAAGTTCAGTTAAATACATTTATCTCTACAAATGGCCTGGAAATCTAGGAAAAGGGGTTTAATTTAATAAGCAATCATGACTTCAGACATATGCTTGGTCGGGTGTTTCACTAACTGTACAGTAGGTACTTTTGAATTGATGTGTGAAACGCGCATGTTGAGTCAATAGGATTGGCATAAAGCGGTGTACCATTATGTCCAGTTCTATTTTGGTTTCACTTTTAGACTAGAATGTATCAACACTTTTGGTGTCTGCAATGATGTGAACATCCTGTAAGTGAAAATAATACTCTCTCTTTAAAGTGGCTACAAGAATCAGTGTAACATACAGAATGTACAAATCAGTTACTGAATGTCCAGTTTGTACATTTCAGTGAGTTTTCAGGAAGAACATATCAGTCAATAAAATCCTTTTAATTTTCACATTTTACTGGCACCTTATATGTATTGCACCACCTGTGTTTTCTCTCATCTTGCAGTGTTTATTATGGAAAATTTGAATAATTGCATAGTATATTTCAGCTTAGTTAGCCAATATCACTTCTCTGTGTCAGGGACAGCATTTCCCAGTATTCTGCTCTCCTTCTCCGAAATGAATTTACTGTATCTCCATTACACCCCATTTTGCTAAGTATTCTAGATGTCCTAAGTGCTGTCGTGATAAATACAAAATATTTCTCCTTTCGATTTTTCTCCACAAATTATGCTTAATTTTTCAGGTCTGATTTCTTCTTTTCTTCCCATGTAAAATACATGGCACTCTTGCCTTCACTCGAATTTCATTTTGTCTGTTTTCATATTTTCTTCCTGTTGTCAATTGATGATGGGATTTTACTAAGTAAAATTCTGTACTGTATTAGCTTAAAGCTCTCAGCTTGGCTTACTCAGTGGGCCAAGTACATCATTTCAGCTGTTCCTTCTTGTAAATCAGTCACAAGCAGTACTATCATCTGGGGCTGTCATTTTTCCAGACTTTTGGGACTACTGTTTAGCTGCAAAAGGAAAATAAGGATGACAATATCAGCTTCCAGTCCTTGTTATTTCTCCCAGTATCCTCCCATGTTTCTTGTTCCTAGAGAACTGTCCTTGTAACTTACCCCTCATAACCAGCAATCTTGGTCAGAGACAAAAGGCAAAAAACATTTTTGGAGTTACAGGATTTTGTGGGTTCTGATGCAATCCATATTTCTTACCTTCTGCCAGGAGCACTAGGAATTAAATTCAGTCAGGCAGAGCTCTTATTGTTTAAGGACCATGAAGTTTTGCAGGAATAAGAAATCTAAGGAGTAACTGGATGTTCTGTGGGGTGATGTCATATAGCACAAGTCTCTTCAGTCTTTATACACTACCTGAGATCTGAATTCCCACTAGTGGCATTGTAATGTGTTATGAATGTGCCGCTTCTTGTTCTGAGCTTCAAACTCGTGCTCTGGCTGTCATCAGAGAGAGATTAGTTCCTGTTATTTTAGTTACAGATAACCATGTAAACTCAATGAATGTAACACAGTAGATAAATAAGTAATGCCAATCTTTTCTTGCTTCCCTTTGCCTGAGCCCTTTCTGAAGTTGGTTTTCCCCTGTTGTGAACACTGTTGTGATTTTCCCTCTTAATTTCATGGCCAAGTCTGCCTTCTTCCTTTGACTAGCAATACTTCGGCATTTCTTAGAGCAGAATTTGTAGAGTTCAGAACTGAAGTCGCTTTCCAGTGGTTGGAAAGTGGGGAACAGTGCCTGGAAGGGTCTCTGGTAATGATCAATTCTTGTTCCACTGTAATAAAGGCACAACTGAAACTTGAGTTTAGTTGTCCTGTGGTCTTCCTAGAAAAGACTGCAAACTGTTCTTTTAAGAAGTCCCCTCATGCAAATGGAATATGCAACTTAAAGCCTCACTGCCTCACTGAATAATCACACTAAAATAAAAGGCTTTATATGAAGGGGTGTGCCTCACCGTGCTCTTAGTCAGGAGACCCACCTGAAGACCAGATATTACTAGCGACATGTGCTACTCTCCAGACTTTGCTCTACTGTGATGGGATATGTTCAGGTAAATTGGTAGCTTGGTTGTAACATTGAAACTTCCCTCAGGCTGCTTTATTCCTTCCTATTTTTTTCCAGTATTTTACAGACAAAAGAGCTTAGCCACTCACTAAGCTAAGTAATCCTTTCGGTACCTCCTGGACTAGAGGTCAGGCTTGGTATTTGCCCAGTGGAAGGGGGGTGGTATTTTTCTTTAAACCAGTCAGACCTAAAGAGCTCTTGTGAAATCATTGGCACAAAGCCATGTTTCCATAGCACTCCGACTGGCAGAAGATACTGCTGTGAATGTTAACATCTCTGTGGCACAGAGCCTCCTGCACGGTCTTCTGACTGTGGTGTTAGTAAAATTACATATACTTGAAGTGAAGCATGTCACAGTGTTCGTAGGATCAGGGCCTGTAGTTATAGCTGATTACCTGGATGTTAGATTTTATTTTTTTAGTGGCCTTTTAATTCAATAGAAAACTGCAGCAAACACACACTTCTGCTTCATAACTGTAGAATTGCAGAGGAACACACTGAATGAGGGCAGAAAGAGTTTATACTTGTTCTACTCATGCGGTCTTGACTAAACAAAAGCATGATTGTACATGACCTGCCCTTGGAGCTGGCTGAGATTTTTCTCAGAAAGAATTTAAAAGAGATCATCTTTAATGCTCCCAGAAGAGTTCTGGTGAGCAGCCTGGCAACTATTGTCTGTCTTGGCTTTTGTGAAGTTTTTTAAACTGTATACAGATACTCAGTATAGCTGTTTATATGTCTGCCTTTCTCTAAAAAGCCATTAAAAGTTTGTTTCTGGATTTGTTCTCTTCTAACCCTTCTACTTCTCTAGTATTTAAATGCTGTTGTAACCTCAAGCAATTATTGCCTCGGGTTTTTTGCCAAAAACATTAGATGGCATCACTGAGAGCTGCCATTCATCATTCTCTGGGGCTTTGTAAATGCCTCTTTCTCCTATATCCTTTCAGATGATGTTGCAGAATGGACAGAAGCAGTATTTGTTTTAATTGTTGGTGATGCTTAAACAATTGGACAGGAGCTCTCTCACTGCACCTTGATTTAATCTTACTAAATTAAGGAAATCCTGTGATTATCTTGTGGAGACAGTGTGAGATTCTGGAAGGTAGGCACATCACTTATTTCTCTTCCTATCTATGAAATATGTGGTGGGATGAAAAAGAATTAGCGCACTCAGCCTCATCTTCAGTTTCTGGAATTATACTGGCACTATTTGTAAGCACCCAGAAGATAAGAACCTGTCTAGATGTTTTTTCTAGGCCAAATCATGTCATATCTACCCATCTTTCTCCTGTGATGGTATTATGTAGATGGAAGGAAGTGGAAGATGTGACATATATTTTAACATTTATCAGAGGTGAGATTCTTACAAGTCAGGGAAATAAAAGTACCACGATGCATCAGCAAAGCTGGTTAAAAAGACATACTCAGAAGAGTTGTCAGAAGTTAACTGAGGAAAAGACAGCATTTATCAAGCGTGTTCTGTATAGGACCCTCTTGGATCAGACACTGCAGCCACAAAAGAGAAGTCCTTAAGAAACTATGATTCGTTACCTGAAACTCAGAGAACTACTTAGAACAGGTTAGACTTATTTCTAGCACAAACAGTTTAAGGGTGGTTGATCCACACTTGAGGCAGAGGAAGAGACTAGATAAGTTTTGCAGTATTTTCTTAATCAGTAGACCATTTTTTTAAAAGGTTGATGAATTAGCTTCCATCCAGTTATAGGTTGATGGGGGTCTTAAATTAAAAACAGTTAAGTAAACAGTGTGACCATTTTACAAAATCACCATTTTGGAGTTTAGTTTGAAGTATTTTAATGAAGTATGGGAACCACTATATCACTCGCCTTAAAATATGCTTCTTGGACACTGATGAATATTGCATGTATCTCAGATTCGCATGCACCTCTTGTCTTTCAGACTATAGGTTGAGTAACAGTGATATTGAGTAACAGATGATATCTTGGGTTCTCCTGTAGCCATATTTTAATGAAATCAGAGATACTTAGTAATGTTTCCTACCTATCTGTTCACTGTTTAACCTAGTTCTGAGATTCTTTGGACTGGAAAGTACTACCATACTGTCTACCTTTTAGATGATGATGATGATGATTAATAATAATAATAATAGTAATAATAATTTAGACAGAGTTCTCGTTTGTGGCCCCCTTCTTCTTTTGCCACCCAAAATAAGCAGAGGTATTAGCTTCAATGATTCTGAAACAACAGATATATAATATTGACCAGGGGCTAATCCATTAAGGTATTTTTAACTTGCTGATAATTTCCTACCTTTGGTCTTCACTTGTGAGTGAATAATCAACTGACTTCTTCCACCTTGGAAAAGATGCTTAAAAAATCTTACCATTTTCATTACAAAATATTTGAGTAGAATGGTGTCATTTGCAACATGAGTTTCAGGCCAGAGATGAAGGTACCCAACACCCAGAATCATTAAAAAATCAAGAACACAACTTTGCAAACAAATATGTTTAATTGCATTGTATAATGGACTTATAGTTGTTAAATATATTATTTTACTGTATAATTTATCGTTCTTCCAGTTCCTTTAGCAGCTCGTCAAAGTGAGTAATGTACCATTTAGCTTTCTCCTTTACTTGCTTTCTGATTACATTTCCTCCAAATCCAATGAAGCAGTCCTGGCAAAACAGAAAGAATGGGCACGTTTATTCTTGCAGTCTGATGTAAGGAATGGAGCTTCTCAGCAATTAAGTTTCGTTTTAAGATTGGATTTTAAAATTACGGTATTCCTTCCTGCCTCTTCCCCTATTTTACTTTGCATGTTCATTTTTCAAATTTATTAACAAGAACTTCATTAACATTTAATTTTGCACCACTTTGGTTATTAGAGTTTTGTTCCAGTAGGAAGGTTGTGTCTCAGTGCCTCGTAACTTCAAGATTGTTCAGGTCTGAGATTTTACTGAAAATGCACTGTAACTGTGATGCAACATAAGGCCTTACTATTCAAGAATGAGTTAACGTTTGAACGTGCATGCAGCATCTCACAATTATCCCTATACTGTTTATCTTAACTCTGTTTACCTCATTTGATAGATACCAGAAGTAAACATTAACCATGTCTTCAATCATTAACCAGGAACAGTCATCATTTCTACATCTTAGAAAACCATCTGCAGTGAAAGTGCAGTGTTTAAAATTTCCACTGCTGCTTTTTTGCCTTTAGGTAGAAAGCATTAAGCAAATACTAAGCTGGTTTGGTCATGCACATATTTAACAGTAAGGGACCAGCTGTCATAACTTGCATCAGCAGTAGCTCTGAGTTTGTTCCTGAGCATTTCCATGCACTGGGATATCTGTCCCTCACCATTGGCAAAGAAGGGGTATTG